CTTCAAGGCTGGACTATTGTAATTCGTTACTATCAGGAAGTTCACAAACTGTAGTTAAAAGCCTTCAGCTGATCCAAAATTCTGCAGCCAGAGTTCTGATGAAAATTTAAAAGAGAGATCATATCTCTCCTATCCTGGCTTCTCTTCATTGGCTTCCTGTTAAATCCAGAATAAAATTTTAAATCCTCCTTCTCACGTATAAAGCCTTAAATGGCCAAGCTCCATCTTATACCAGAGATATGATTGTTCCTTATGTTCCTAACAGAGCACTTCTCTCTCAATCTGCAGGTTTAAGAGTGGTTCCTAGAATTTCTAAAAGTACAATGGGAGGCAGATCTTTTAGTTCTCAGGCTCCTCTCCTGTGGAACCAACTACCAGTTTTAGTCCGTGAGGCAGACACCCTGTCTACATTTAAGGCTAGGCTTAAAACTTTCCTTTTTGATAAAGCTTATAGTTAGGCTGGCTCAAGTTATCCTGAGCTATCCCCATAGTTATGCTGCTATAGGTTTAGACTTCTGGAGGACATATGGCCCCCTATTTCATCATTCTGCTTCATTCTATCTCTTCTCTTACACTCTGCTGAATCTGTTAGTTCAGTTCTGCTCTCTCTGTTTTTTCTCATAGTAGCTTCATCTGGTCTGTTCCTGTTTGGCTGTGACTCCATCCTGGAGAGAAATATCAGCTGTGCTGCTTCCATCAACACCCTTGTGTATAGATGCTGGAGATCTGCCTGTTTTTCAGTGTAGTCCTGTTTCTCTGACTGTGACTGGATGTGCTCTCTTCATCCTCTGACATGGGAGCTGGCCCGGAGCTCGTCTGCCTGGCTGTGTGTTTCCTGGACGGGGCCGCCTTTTACAGCTGCTTTTTGTATCTCTGCTTCTGTCTCCTTGAACCGCAGTCGGTCTTAGCAGATGGCCGCTCACACTGAGCCTGGTTCTGCTGGAGGTTTCTTCCTGTTAAAAGGGAGTTTTTCCTCTCCACTGTCACCACAAGCATGCTTAGTGTGAGGGATTGCATTCGAGACAATGAGTCGATGCAATCAACTGTTTTTTCTTTAGATAGAAAACTTTGAATCAATTTGACTGGATGATCTGGTGAACTGTAAAGTGCCTTGAGATGACATGTGTTGTGAATTTGGCGCTATAGAAATAAACTGAATTGAATTGTAATAACACACTGCAATTGTTTTTTTCTTATTATAAATTTGAATTGTTTTATTCCTTTGGCAAATTGCCTCCTCAATTCAAGAGGACTCCACCTAATTTAAGAAAGTGGAGTTAGGTTCCATTATTTTTTTTTTTACAGTGTCGAGACTGTTGTTAGACTCATTGGTGGTAAAAGAATCAAAACACTTTCATCAAAGAGACCTCTTTGCAAACTACTTGACTGAAATCTGTAGTTAAATCCAACTGACCACTTTTGTTTCCTTTTTTAGACACCAACTTTCCAGATGATCCTTGGTGCTGCTATCACACTCCATCCACGCCCTGCAGGCAGCTCAGGATGACAGGTCCAGGGCCAGAACCAGCCAGAACTGTTCTACTCTCATCTCTCAGTCAGTAATCCTGGCTTTGGTTTTTCCTTTCCTCCATTTTAACACATGTTTACACAAGGTTTGAATCAGTTTCTCCTTTTTCCTGATGCGCTGCTCCTGCGGCGCTGCTCAACCTGCAAGTGTGTTTTAACATGTTAGGAGAGTTCAGCTTTTCCAGCAGGGCTGCTTGAGCTCATGAGCTAAAGTGACAAAGACCCTGTGAATATCTGACTCACAGACAACTGTCAGCGTTCAATGGGCCGGATTAAGACGGAGCATAGAACCGAGCGCACCCTGACATGTTGACATGTTCTACTAAGTGCATTTCAAGCTGGATTTAACCCGTTTGCTCCATTGTGGAGCAACAGAGGAGACACAATTGCCAAATGGGGCCGAGCATTCTTGAGAGAGCGGCTGAACTTTCCTCCCTCTGTCTGCAGCAGGACTGACACTGGCTTCATTCTCAGGGTGAATAAGGCTGCCGTGGATCTCGAGGAGGTTCAGGGGTTTCAGAGAGCTCTCTCCTTAACCAAACAAACACGCTGGAATTTCTGCTATTGTTGGTGCACAGGGCTGAGTGACAGGGCCGCATAGCAGGGCCGCCTGTCAGCAGAGACATCTCGGGGTCAAAGTGTGACCATCTATTCGAGAAGTTGCTATCAAAACTTCTCGGATGAACCGGTGAATCAGCCGGAGTGTAAATGTTCTATGACTATATGTATGATGTCTGCTCCTCAGGATTCAGGTTCCACTCTGTGTAACATAACAAAGCCTGTTTTATTATTTAGGCCGGAATACAAAGGTGGAAAATTAGTAAATAAACTTACATGTTTTCATTTAAATGTGGCAGAATTCTGCATTTTGGTCATAAAATAGTAGTATTTGAGTAGCTGCTACAAAAAAAATCTTACATTTAGTCATCATCTGTGTCAGTTTTCCCAATAACAATTTCCCACCCTTTAGGCACTGAATTAGACTTTTTCTTTAATGGCTCCCTTTTTTGTACAACTTCAAATTCTGTAGAACCTACTACTTTTACTGCGCAATCATCAACAGGCTCTGGAATAACTGACGGTCAGTTCATTTATTCTGAAGCATGGCAAAAAAGTGTTTAAGCCTTTTAAAAATTTCTAATAGATTTGAAAAATGGTATTTATTTAATGTAGTTTCTGTTTTTTGTGGTTCTTCCCCTCCTTAAGATGACGAAAACTCGTCCCATTTAATTTCTATGGTATTCAAAACCCTAAATTATTTATTTAGACATCATAGATGTATAATTATGTATGTAAGGGCTCCATAAACTTAATTTATATGGAAAATACAGATGTTGTGCTCGTTCATTTTCCTTTTGGTTTGATCCCTAAGTATAGTTAAACCCTGAATTGTTTTTGACCCTGGTAGCACAGGTGTAACTTTCTGAAGGAGTGGTGTGGACATGTCCTCACCAACTTTGGCCAATAATTTCAATACATAGGCTTTGGCAATATGTAGGACAAATTTCTAAATTTGATTTTGCTGCTTTTGAAGGAGGATATTCACTAATGTAGCTGAAAGGGAAAACATTCAATGCTCAATCCACATTTTTCTGGATGGATTGATAGATGGATAAATGAAATGGAAATTGAGTACATACTAGTGAGGCATGATATATTGCTGTTGGCATCGGAATTTATCCATTAATGTCTAACTACCTATAAATATCAGTGTATTTTGGTTCTTTTTGATCTCAACAACAGGAAAGCATTCGATAAATATATGTTTGAGCTCATTTTTGGAAAATACAAACCCTATTAAAAGTGTTTGTGTCGAGTAACTGTAGGTCCATCATCCCTACCCTAAGAGTGTCCCCACCAACTTTCATCACAAAATTACACCCTGGCCTGCTAGCATCTGGTCATGGTGTATATTGGTCCCTGCCTGACCAACCCTAAGAAAATGTTCTATCGCTGCAACTGATCCTGACTCCTTCTAAAGGGCCTTTGTACTTCCATTTAAATGCACCCTTAATAGGAGTCTAAGCCACCAGGTAGAGCCCTAGGTGTCATTCCATTAGTCTGTATTTACTGGAGGGACACAGGGGGTCCGATTTATTTATTTTTTAACAAACATGCAGGATCTCTTTTTATCAACAAAAACAAATCATGCATTCTTTTTATTAAAATATATTTTATTTTTAGAGCACTCATGCAACCCATTGATATAATAGCACCCTTGGTAGTGAGCCATTAAAAGCCACCTAAACCCTGCAATTCACTGGCAGAGTTTAAATTGTATTCAGTGGAGTCAATTTAGAGCAAATTTTAAGTGGCTCAGAAAGACTTTTAAGTAAAAATCAGAGTCTTAAAATCTTACCCATTCAAACAAATTAGTCTTCCTCAAATGAAAAATGTGTGCAATATTT